CTCAATATATTCACCACCAGCTAGAGCCAGGACTAGAATCACTTTAAATGACAGAAGGGAAGCATCCAAGTGTGGTTGAAGAAATGAAAGAGTGAGGCAATGGAAAAATCCACTAGGAGAATGTTGTGACGGACTGCCCGGCAGCCCGACTGGGTACCTCCATCAGTTGTTGCTTCCTAGTACTTGCGAGCACCATAAGCACCGTAAAGCCCCAAACCAACACCATAACCACCGTAAAGCCCAAAACCGCAGCAGCTTGGTTGGGGTCTCGTTGTCCTCCACCCACCCTGGTGGACCCAAGACCAGGATCCAGCTTCAAGTGGGTAGACCTCTCCTAGTCCAGAGAGCGAAGCAGGCTGCGCTTATAAGAGCAATCGTTGTGATCTGACGGAGTATAGGGATTATAGCAATCCCCAGAGTGAATATAGCTCTCCAATCCCCCAAACATGAGCCTAGACTTCATGAAGGGTAAAACAAATCTCAGTTTAATGGCAGCCACAACTGGCCTTATATGCAAGTCCCCATGCAAGGGGTACTCCCCCCTGGACCTTGTGGGGGACTACAATACAAAGTCACAGACCAATGACAATAGAATTTAAATGCACGACACTCCCATATACAAACATACAATCCCTCCCTCCCTGTATATACCTTTTACCATTTTATTCATTTATTTTCTTGTTTTTAATTACCTGGTCACCGATTCGAATTGGAGCACATTATTACTCAAGAATACTAGGTGGGGATAGTACCACCTGCGCCATTATATTGAGCAGTAGATCCTCCTCATATATATGTGAGTATTCTACCATTTTATTTTGCTTTTTAACTTATACAGTGAGCACTATATATGTTTTTTATCTTTTTATATACTGAGGAACTTTTAAGGATCTCATCACCTATATCCAACCAGTGGGGGATTGACGCCACTGAATGCTAAGAATACTTGAGCAAGTTTCTTTGCTCATAAATAGGTGAGTGCTTTACCTACTATCAGATTTCAACTTGCCCATTTGTCGACATTCTGCACTATTGGAGTTTCTCTTGTCTTTTCTATGTATCCACACAACAACAAGTGAACCAAGACATCTCCAACACAAGAAGTTTCAGATACTCATTGGACTCTATATATACTCAAGCATCCTACAGGTTGATCTATTATTTGGGACTTTTTAAACTTTTTACTACTTATTTATTTACTTTTTATATTATCCCTTTGTTTCCATAGCACGACCTATATACCAATTTTTGTCTATTTCCTTTTCTGTGAGGTTTTTTGAGGGAGCCTCATATTTATAGGTTGCTGCTTCCTTACTTGTCTTAGTTTATATTTGATTATTTAGCGCTGAACCGTTGTTTGTTCGAATCCCTCCCCTCTGCCTGTGAGATAATTGGATCAGTAACTGTATTAATTCTAATCCAATTATATACAAACACAGAAAAAAACATACTTTTTCTAAACACCCTAAAAGTACCGTAAAAATACATAAATCCCCCGATAGCCCTGATCTGGGTGACCAACATATCCAAAAATCACCCAGATCAGTTCAGCGGTTCAGGAATTGATTTGACCGACCGAGAATCAGGGCAAGCAGTCGGTCTAGTTCGGTAGTTTGAAAACGAACAAACTACAGAACAGAGTCAATAGAGTCAATAGCTTGTCCCCCTCATCCAGACGAATGATCTCACCGAACAGCGCACTTCTAAGTTGTATAGAACCGAACGCAGACGATGATGGAAGTTCAGTGGTGTTCAGGAGTTTCTGTATCCGATTTCAGTTCCATGAGATTCATGCCCAAACACTGCTGCCTGCATTCATGCGAACAAGATAGCTGCCACCTTGTGGTTGTCCATAGGAATTGTGGCCACCCAGATGAATAATTAGAACACTACGGTGAGAAACATTCCAAGTTGTTAATAGGTGTTATTAGGAGCAAGCAGGCTCCTCCAGGAACTCGTGGCAAACTCATGTAAAAAGGTTAGTTTGTCACAAATGTGAATTACAAAAAATAAAATTTCTGGATGAAGTTTGGTTCAGCTGAATTTTTGTAAAATGTTTCAGCTGTGCACAAGTCTAGTGTCTATATTGCAGTGAGGCTGCATCAATGTGCAGGTGGTTATATAATATGATCGCAACGCAGTAATCCATTACTATAGTGCAGTGAGGCTGCAGTAATGTGCGGGTGGTTATATAATCACAGCTCTACAGCGCAGTAATCCATTATTATTTTGCTGTGAGGCTGCAGTAATGCGCAGGAGGTTATATAATCACACCTCTGCAGCGCATTAATCCATTATTATATTGCTGTGAGGCTGCAGTAATACGCAGGAGGTTATATAATCACAGCTCTGCAGCGCACTAATCCATTATTATATTGCTGTGAGGCTGCAGTAATGCGCAGGAGGTTATATAATCACAGCTCTGCAGCGCACTAATCCATTATTATATTGCTGTGAGGCTGCAGTAATGCGCAGGAGGTTAGATGATAGCAGCTCTGCAGCACAGTAATCCATTATTATATTGCTGTGAGGCTGCAGTAATGCGCAGGAGGTTAGATGATCGCAGCTCTACAGCGCAGTAATCCATTATTATATTGCTGTGAGGCTGCAGTAATGCGCAGGAGGTTATATAATCACAGCTCTGCAGCGCAGTAATCCATTATTATATTGCTGTGAGGCTGCAGTAATGTGCAGGAGGTTATATAATCACAGCTCTGCAGTGCAGTAATCCATTATTATATTGCTGTGAGGCTGCAGTAATGTGCAGGTGGTTATATAATCACAGCTCTGCAGCGCAGTAATCCATTATTATATTGCTGTGAGGCTGCAGTAACGCGCAGGAGATTATATAATCACAGCTCTGCAGCGCAGTAATCCATTATTATATTGCTGTGAGGCTGTAGTAATGCGCAGGTGGTTATATAACCACAGTTCTGCAGAGCAGTAATCCATTATTATATTGCTGTGAGGCTGCAGTAATGCGCAGGAGGTTAGATGATTGCAGCTCTGCAGCGCAGTAATCCATTATTATATTGCTGTAAGGCTGCAGTAATGCGCAGGAGGTTATATAATCACAGCTCTGCAGCACAGTAATCCATTATTATATTGCTGTGAGGCTGCAGTAATGCGCAGGAGGTTATATAATCACAGCTCTGCAGCGCAGTAATCCATTATTATATTGTTGTGAGGCTGCAGTAATGCGCATGAGGTTATATAATCACAGCTCTGCAGCGCACTAATCCATTATTATATTTCTGTGAGGCTGCAGTAATGCGCAGGAGGTTAGATGATTGCAGCTCTGCAGCACAGTAATCCGTTATTATATTGCTGTGAGGCTGCAGTAATGCGCAGGTGGTTATATAATCACAGCTCTGCAGTGCAGTAATCCATTATTATATTGCTGTGAGGCTGCAGTAATGCGCAGGTGGTTATATGATCACAGCTCTGCAGCGCAGTAATCCAGTATTATATTGCGGTGAGGCTGCAGTAATGCGCAGG